GATAGATAGATAGATAGATAGATAGATAGATAGATAGATAGATAGATAGATAGATAGATAGATAGATAGATAGAGACAGATACTGGGAGAGAGAGAGAGAGAGATGTACATATAGATGTACACATACATATAGATTAGATAGAAATTAATAGATGATAGGTAGATAAGAGTTAAGATAGATGATGGATGGTAGGTTGGCATATAGATAGATGGAGGGAGGGAGGGAGGGAAGGAGGGAGAGAGAGAGAGAGAGGGACATGCAAGACAAAAGACATATACACGATAGAGATGGATATGGATAGAAAGATATGGATGGCTAAATATGATAGAAACATGATATAGCTAGATGATAGATATGATATAGGCAGACAGATAGATAGATATTGATGGATGGATGATAGAAATAGCTAGAGAACTTGAGAGATTAAAGCTAGTGAGATAGAGAAAGAAAGATAGATAGAAAGACAGACAGATATAAAATTAGAACGGTGGATGGATGGATGGATGGATGGAGAGATAGAGACAGAGATTAGATAGAGGGAATCAGTCCACTTTTGGGTGGTGCCCGGTTCCTTTCTTTTGCTCTTTCTTTTGTTTTACAGCCTTCCTGGCAGACTTTCACAGACCCCGCTTTTTCCAACAGGAATTTGGTGACACTCGCTAAATCCAGGGCTTTTCGCGAGAAGCATGGGAGAATCCTGCTGGAAGGCCGGAGGCTCATTACAGACGCCCTGGAGGCGGGAGCCGTTCCGCAGACGATCTTCTTTAGCCTAATGGAGAACCTGAAGCAGCTGCCTGCGGCCAAACTCAAACGGGCCACCCTCGTCAAAGTGAAATACAACGAGATCAAGATGTGGTCAGACGTCATCACACCACAGGGGTTAATTGGTAAGTTCTGGTAGAAATCGGAAGGCTTCAGATGCAGTTGTTGTACATTAATGAGATTTTTATCCTGCCTTTATGATTTCATAAGTAACTTGAAGCAAGGATCATATCTAATACTCTTTCTCCCTTCTGTTGTCCCCACCACAACAACCCTGCGAGGTGGGTTGGGCTGAGACAGGAGCTGGCCCAAAGCCACCCAGCCGGCTTTCATGCCTAGGGCAGGACTAGAACTCACCGTCTCCTGGTGATTGGCTCAAAGTCACCTAAACAGCTCTCCTACCTACCGTATTTTTGGAGTATAAGATGCACCGGAGTATAAGACGCATCAAGATTTTGAAGAAATCTCTGCAGACTTCCCCAAAACAGCCCATTTTTCGTGAAAACGGGCCCGTTTTTCTCAAAAAAAGGGGATGACTAGCCTTTAGGAGGCTTGTAGAGTGCTTGTGGGGGGGGCTACATAAACGAGCAAAAAACGGTCCATTTTTCACAAAAACGGGCCCGTTTTTTGTCAAAAAAAGGGAATGCATAGCCTTTAGGCGGCTTAT